ATCCACAAGATAGCTGACAGGGTAACTTCTCTCTTATTACAGAAAAGATTTAGCATGTTTACTTAAAACTATTCATGCTAAAGCCCATATGAATATGTAAGAAAACGATTCTGTATAGCAGCATTTACATGAGGATTGAAGTATTACCCCACAGTAATAATGAAATCTAAAGATACAGCTAAGATAAATGACAGGAAATTATACCTAAAAATAGGAGAATTCTCCATAGAATAAATCTAAAGCTTATCATAAACAACAAAAAAAATAAAAGGAACAGAAAGAAAAGTAGAGAGAAAAAGCACTGAGGTAAGAGGAGATAAGCATAAAAAGAATTTGTATCAAGGAGAAAAAAAATTAAAAAGACTATAAAGAGCAAACCATTTCCCAGATATGAAGGGATACACATGTTCAAGATTATCTGTATGTAACAGCTGAGTAAAGGCTTCTTTCTTCTGAATGTCTGCTGTAGTGAGTACACTCATGTTATTGTCCAGTTAGTGTTATTACAAACTGATGCGCTGTAAGAGATTTTGGCACTTAGGCAAATGTTGTGGAATTAACGTAAAAAGCCAACGAGTGTGACAGGAAAATCATGGTAAGGTGAAAAGTATGGAAGTTGAAAATAACTTTCTTAGATAGCAAAAATAGCTTTGAAAAGTAAGAGGAAGCTAACAGAAGAAATAGGAGGTTGTTAAGAACGTAGGCAGGTGCTAAGTACAGAAGCAGAATGCCAAGAATGTGAAATGTGATATTAAAAGCAAAAAATGAATTTCTCACTTTCAATTATGGAATAATGGTGACTATGACCTGTATGGGCAGGCACAGACGGTCATTTATCTCTTGGACAAAAACACAAAGGTTGCCAAAAGTCTTGCCATCTGAGGCTTTGTCTCAATTTACTTTCTTAAGGATGACTTAGCAAGATTATCTGGGATTTATTCTCGAAAGAGATATGAGAGTAGGTCACATACAGTATTGTCTGTTTCTCTAGCACTTGTCTCTGTCCTGTCAATTGTACTGGATTGCATAAAACAGAGAATTTGGCTTGCAAGGGCAGGTATGAATGGAACAAGGAACTTAAAGAAGTAGAGGTCTGGTTAGAGATACAGCTAAAAACATTTTAGGAAAAAAAGAGAAAACATCATCAAATAACATACAGAAAGACTAAATCTAGCTGGAGAATATACTGCTATCCAAGTACTGATGAGGGGATCAAGACAACAAGAAGTTAGTATTTGCCTATATTAGAAAGGTCAGCATGAATAAAACAAGCAGACAGACATAATAAGGAAAAAATGCCACATTCTTAAAAATTTTAGGTGAGATGAAAAATAGCTGTAAAGTTAAAAACAGAATTCAAGACAGTTTATTATAAGAAGACTTTTATTATATGCTCATTTGTGACTCTAGTGAGAATAAATGCAAATAAAAGATCTCAGAGAAGACTCTTAGCTGCTGTCACCATGGTTAGAAGCTGGATTCAGAGAGTTGGTAAATTGCGGAAAATTTGAATCTAGAAGACGTAGAATGTGATATTCAAAATAGTGTAAGACTTGGACTGGAAGAAAAAAACCTTGAATCTGGCACTCCATCTTAGGTAATACACAAGACAGCAGGTCTGAGGTTTCCATTCGGCTTTAGGAATCATCAAAATACCTTAGTATTGAATTCAGTCAGAGATGCTCATCATGCACAGTCTTATTGACTGCAATAAGAGGTTTTTTTTGGCATTTAGTGTTTACAAATCTGTAAAGATGTAGGCATCTAAACACAAGACTTTGATGTTCTGAATTTTGGCATCTGAGTTTGCGAATAGTGAATTTGGAATAGATTTTCACCTGCTCCAAAATTATCACGATACCATCCTCATCCAACTTGGTTTTGACCAATAGCTGCTATTAAGCTGCTATTATTTGTTATTTTTAAGTAATTCCAACATTATATAGAATGCAATTTTATATGCTGAATTTAAAACTCCTGTAGCAATTCTGAAATACTTATGCAGTCCATACAAAATGATACATGGTACAAATCCAGCAGGTTTTTGTAGTCTATTCATGGTCTGGTTTACTAACAGGCTGCTGCTGCTAACCAAGCTTAGGTCTTCCAGCAAGGGGGTTGCATTAATAGGAGTTTGTTCACAGAACAAAGCCTTATATTGCAAAAATGTCAATTGATCAGAAGGTCATAAATTCATAATCTTGATTAAATTAACAGTAGAAATTGAGAATTTCAACGTATATGAGTGGCTGCACTGGGATTGAATATGTTCTTAGTGTCTAACCCAAGCAGAAATTCCTATTTAGAAAAATATTTGGACAATTAGATTTTCCTAAAAATGAATCGTCTTCTCTAACTGTGAAGATTATCGTGTCAGCTAGCAGAGTTTCTCTGAAGATAAGAGACAGATAAGAAACAGATGCTAAGAAACAGGTGGATATAGAGACATATTGTCATACTTATTTATTTGTCTTTCTCTCCAAATCTAGCAGTTAGTTCCTGAAACATTCATTCTGCTAGAGAAAAACAACAACAAGTCATTAGCAATTTCTTTTTTACTTTTCCCTTAAGTTTTGAGAGTGACTTCAGGGTTGTCTAGCAAACTGTATACTGCATATATCTTGGCCAATCTCAGATGTTACTCTCTGAATAAACTTAAGTGTATCCTATGTTTGGGGAGAGATCTCAATTGCCAACAAAGTTAAGGGTCTGTTTGAAAACAGCAAAAATATGGGGTCTGAAACATTGGATTTTCTCAAACTCAACTTAGTTTTCTTTTATCAAAATTGACAAAAGGTAGAATATAAAAATTTCATAAGCAATAAGCTAAAAATATTAACATCCTGACAGATGGTTATGTATTTAGTATGTCTTTCAAATTTGTGTTACTTCTCATTAAGAAGAGCATCCAAAATATTTGTAATCAACTCAGATTGTTCAGTGACACCTGCACAACAAGTTCATGATCCTCCAGGCTTGGGACTTTTATCTAAGAAAGGAGAGACATAGCAAAAAAAACCTATAAAGGAACACCTGAGGTACTCCATGTCTATTATGTACTGCTTTTGGGGAATAGAGGAGAAATGCTTAAGGAGGGGGCTAAATTGTCAGATACAAGTTAGAAGAAATTCAGCTTATTTGAGTGCATGCCTTTCTTAACAGGGACTTTGAGTTAAGACTGTTCCAGTTCTGTCACAAAGATATGAATGGTCCTGAGACAGATGAAGAATGTAAATAAGCTTCTAGATCAAAGCATAAGACAGAGATAGTGAAGATGAGGGTTCAGACAGCAGCTCCAGAGGACTGCAAGGTAGGTGGACAGCAGACAAGTCTTACTGAACACACCAGGCTGTGGGACTTTGCTCCATACCTATAGGAAATTAAGCTAACTGCCCTCACTGCAAGCCAGTGTTTATACCACAGTGTCCTGGTCTAGATCTCATCTAATTCAGGCATACTTTCCTTACATACCTGTAGTCATGTAACCTACTTCTGATATGTGCATGAGGAAAGAGGCTGTCATGTCAGGTAGCACCTCCACGGTACATTGTCAGAACAGGAGTGACAACCTGGGCAAACAGCAGCTTTCAGTATACAAAACAAAGCCAAACAAACACACACAATGAAACAGAAGAAAAACAACATGTAGTTAGCTTTCCAGAAAATGTGTCATTTAGCAATACCGTAGGAGTCTATTGACTGAAAATTCAATTCAATCAAAAAATTTTCCCTCTCAGGCCATGAGTCGCTGCTGTTTTATTAAAAATTCTGAATGTTGCTTTATTGAGGAAGAACAAGATAAAAGCAAGAGTCAATAACCCCTGAAAAATGAGAAAAATGTACATTTGTGGACTTAACAGGTGGAGATAAGGGTAGATTCAAATTATTAAGAAAACTTACTTGCTAAAATTACAAAAACATTTAACTTTTGAATTTCAAAAATAATACAATTGTAATATACTTTAACGTGAATTTGAACCTTCAACCTTCATTACTTAATAGTAAAAGCAGTTATTCTGCAGTCTGTATTTGTTACTTCTCTGACAGGAATGGAAGAGAAGAGAGGAAGAATCTTTCTTCTTGTGAAAAAGGGGTTCTATTACTTTGAATCTGGCTCTGGCTGTTTTATAAATATTAGCTGGAAAATGTGATATAAACTCCTCATCAGTTTTCACAGAGTAGAAAATCCTTCAATCTTTGTATATGATCAGCGTATAAGCACTGTTTTTGAAAGGTTAGTAGTTGTTATGGTTTGTCCTCAGAATCTTAATTATGTAAAGTAATAAATTTAGCATGAGTAATTGTAGCACTATTAATTTTAATTCATATTTCAAGAGTGCAGAAACATATACAGATAGTAGCAAACTTTTTGAACTGCATTATGCTAAATTTTTCTCCAGATTAATTAAATGAGTGCTCTTTAACTCTCTCCGTGATCAACCATAATCAGGCCTTTCATTTCACCTTCAGGCTCATGTTTTTCTGACTAATGGTACTTTCATTAAATTTCATTTCTTCTCCTTGCATTTAAATTGTTCCTTTTCGTGAACATTTGTTGTCCATATGAAATTGTGATCACAGAGCTCTGAGAAACTGAAATAACTATATGTTTTCTCTTCTGAAAATGTTAGCTGCTTATGCCAACTTTTTTTGTGACAACTAAATAGGAGTATCTGTGAAATTTAGGTAATATTTTCATACTTCATGGTTTGTCAGTTATTTTTTAAACAAAACAAAACAAAACAAAACAATGCAGAAAACTAAAGAGGGCATGGGTGTCCTAGTGGACATATTATATGTATGTTTTTATCACTGTTTACAAATATGTAAAGTGCAGGAGTCAAGTCAATGGGGGCAGACTCTTTTCAGTGGTGCCCAGCAAGAGAACATGAGGCAGTGGGCACAAACTGGAGCACAAATAGCTCCGTATGAACATAAGGAAAAACTTATTTACAGTGATGGTGAGAGAGCACTGGATCAGGCTGCCCAGAGAGGCTGTGGAGTCTCCTTCTCTGGAGATATCCAAGACCCATCTGATGCCCACCTGTGCAATATACCTATGGCAGGGAGCCTGCCTTAGCAAGGGGTTGCACCCAGTGACTTCCCTATGTACCTTCTAACCCCTATGATTCTGAGACTCTATGAACTATGAAAGCAATAGCAACATGCACTTCTGTTTTTATTACCACTGTCTGTGTCTTTTGGGACGGCTTTAACCACAGCTGTGAACGTGGTTGGGGTCCTTTAGATGGCCACTTTTGCAGTTTGTTATGCATATGGCCAATATGGGGGAACATAAGGACTACCACGAACTCAAACTTCCAGATACTCTGGTATGTGAATACTGGACTTTAATATTTAGATTTACCTCAAGAGCTTGAGCTGGGAGAAAAGATGTATGCTTGTGCAGAGCGTTAGAAGCAACATCGTCCAGAACACAACACCGAGGACTACCATAGCACTAAAGTGAGTGTGAACTGCCTCGAGGTCTGGAGAAACACAGGAGTGGGTCGGCTCAGCGAGATCGGTGCTGAGGTTCCGCAGCACCCCTGCGTTAGAACAACCCTTGGCTGCAGCCGGGCGAACGTTTGGGGTTCTTCTCCCGCACGGCCGGGCCGCGGACGCCCGCCCTCCCCCGCCCCCGGGGCGCGGAGCGACATGGCGCCGGGGCTCCCCGCCTCCCTCCCGCCTCTTTCTCCACCCCCTCCCGCTTTGGCGCCAAACGGCGAAGGAGAGCGGCGGGATGAGCGGCCATCAGCCCGGCCACGTTAACGGGTACGCTCCTCCGCCTCCTGCCCTGCGCCGCCCTCGGGGACCGCGCTGAGCGAGCGAGGGCACGGCGGGGCGGAGAGGCCGCGGGTTCGGGGGGTCCGCGAGTGCTGCCGTTTCCAAGCTCTCTCTGCGGCTCCCTTCGCCGCCACCATGCTAGCGGAGCGGGGCTGAAGCGCGTGTGCTGCTCAGCTGGGGCGCAGAGCTCGGCGGGGGGAAGCGTGATGCGCCTCAGGGAGCGGCACGCGCATCTGGCGCAGCAGTTACAGGCAGAAGGGTGAGGCATAAGGAAGCTAATGTGAAAAGTCAGCAGGAGCGTGTGACCCGTTTGGCTTTTGGGGAACGAGGCCGTAGGTGCTAAGGGTGCTTTTTTAAGAAAGAAAAACATGCTTGGCCTTTTACCCTAATTTCTGTGAGTTGAGTGACAAAGTATTGGCAGTTGATTTTCAGTAGAAATCTATCCTGGAAGAAAAAGAAAATACAGTGTAGTCAGAACGTGGTGTAGACCTCACCTGGAGCACTGTGTCCAGATGGGGAGCCCTCAGTGCGGGAGAGATGTGGTCCAGAGGAGGGCCACAAAAATGACCCAAGGGGTGGAACAGCTTCCCTTGGAGGGCAGGCTGCAAGAGCTGTGCAGCATGGTGAGGGGAAGGCTGTGGGGAGGCCTGAGAGCGGCCTTGCAGTATCTAAAGGGTAAAGTAAGAAATCTAAACCTAAAATCTGGAGTAAGAAAGAAGGGGACAGACTTTAGAAGGGACTGTTGTGATAGGACAAGGGGAAATGGTTTCCCACTAAGAGAAGGCAGATTTAAACATGATGTAAGGAAGTGTTTTACACTAAGGGAGGTGAAGCACTGGCACAGGTTACCCAGAGAGGCAGTGGATGCCCCATTCCTGGAGACAGCCGAGGTCAGGCTGGACGGGGCTCTGAGCACCCGATGGAGCTGTAGGTGTCCCTGTTCAGTGCTCAGACCACCAGGCAGCCTTTATGGGTCCCTTTCAACTCAGACAGTTCTGTGATTCTATATTGCACGTGATATCAGAAATAAGAAAACAGCAGGAAAATGAAAAGGGAAAAGAAAGTCCAATACCTGTTCATTCACCAGTTGTACTACGTTGTTGTGTACCTGACCACCACAATTCATTCTCTGTGTTCTGTTTTAAGATTTTCTACCTTTTTTTTTTTTTTTTTTTTTTTTCCTGTAGCTGAATGAAATTTCTTCCCTTTTTTGACGCACTGTTGTCATTTACTTGAAGGTGAATGGGAAAGAACTGAGAACAGAGGCTTGGCCTTTAATTGCAGACTCTTTCTCTGTTTGCATTTGAAATACTGTTTACATAGACTTTTCTACAGATTATAAATCACTGTAGAATTTGGGGATTTTTTCCTTCCTTTTTGAATAATGTTATCTTCATGGCTTTCACTTCCCATTACTTTTATTCATAGGTTTGTTTGAATTATCACAAGGATAAATGTTATTTTCTCTTTTTGTAGCTAGCTTTTTTTAGCTATTTTTTTTAGAGTAGATATTCTTCATGCAATTCTAGAACTTACAGTTGAGTGTGAGGAGAATGATCAGCTGCCCAAAATCTTTATGCTTAATTTTCCTGTTTGTGCTTGACCACTAGCCAAGTCCTTGGCTTCTGCTTAATCAGAAATGAAGTGTTTTATACCCATTTCACACTCCTGTGTTCCTGTGCAATGAGCTGAAGGAATCATCTAGCCAAACGTTGTGATGTTAAGTAGAAGTAATTGAGTGAGGTTTGTTTTTTTTCATGTTCCTTTTGATGTCAGCCTTCTGCTTATTTCTCAGATATGTGCCTCTTGCTGTGAAGCTGGTACTCTGAGGGGCTTCGCTTACATAGTGTTTTGTATTATAAAAAAAACTAAATAGTAGCTTTTGCTGTTTTTTTTTGTTTGTTTGTTTTTGTTTTTTAAATAACAAGGTTTACTAGGAAATAATTTAACAAAAGGAGATCTCAGGATCTCTCAGTTTTGAGTATTATGATTTTTCTGGAGAGCTTTTCCCAGAACGTGTTACTTGGTGTAGTTCTGCACTGGGTGTTACGTATCTTTGTTGAGGGCTCTCAGAAGACATTACTGTGAATGTCACTTACTTAGGAATGTAGAAGAGTATTCATTTAAAGTCTGCGGGGGTTTTGAAGTGTGTAAATCTACTTTTGTGATACATTGTAAATACTCACTCCTGAGTTAAAACATTTTCTTCTAATTTCAGTAAAGCTGCCCATGTTCAGTTTGGCAAGAAGTGTGTAAGGGGAAGTCTTTAATTTCTGCTGTGAACCTCTTGTGCTCTGAACACTCTTCTTTGTTAGTAGGATACAGTTTCTATTTCTTAGACAATTCGAGCCAGTTTGAGCACCCTCATTTTTATGCTTGCTTTTATAACAGCATTTTTGACACTGTTTACAGTGTTGTCAAAGTGTGGGAGAGGTCTGCTGGTTGCACAGAGAATGTATGTTTCTCCCATCTTACACTGAGATGATGGCCTTAATGATAATCCTCATTCATTCCAAGAAGAAGCCAAAATTGCTTACTTCTAAGGTGCCACATATAAACCACTCAAAAGCAGTAATTTGTCTTTGGTAAATAGAGCCTTGTGGGTTTCTAAAGTACAGTTTTATTATGTACTGGCATTCTCTTCACTTAAATAGTGTAACCTCGGTGTGACAAGCTAACTGCAAGCCTCTAAGACGTGCTATTTTATATTTTTGGTTATAAAAACAATCATTAACAAAATGCTTGTCTTCTAATGTTTGTGCTTGGAAGGCACTGGCACTACAGTGGCTGTGAGATGTCTTGCTGTTTGTGGTTACCTCTGATGCATTATTCTGCATGGCTCTACATTGCTAGAAGGGTATCTTAGTCTCCTTCCTCCTTTTTTTTTTTTTTCCTAAAACATCTTAAGCTGTCTACCTGGTAAGAGGAATCCAGGAGGAAAAGTACGGCACTTCTGTATTTTGGTAAGATATTTACTGTCTTGTATTTGAGTTGTTCTGAGGATTGCTGAAGAGCTGTTAAAATCATTACATCATTTTGGTTTTCAAGTGTAGCAGCATTAGGTGGGATTTGGGGGACTTTTCTTTAGGTTTGATATTTTTCTGGAAATTTGCAAATCTTTCAGGTATTGGAGAGAAGGTGGGGGGAAAAAAGAAAAGTCTCTCTTTGCCTTCTTTTTCTGAAAAGCAGAGATACCTTCCTGTTGTGTTTTGTGCTGTCCAGGAAGTCTTTCAACCGAAAGGAGGCAAGAAAGAGTGACTCATCACTTCTCCTGTGCCCCTTCTCTCAAATAAACCCCTCAGTGCAGGGGAAGAGGCAGCTTTTCATGCCACATTTATGCATTCTGTCTAAGGGAAAAGTTCTTGAACTCATCTCATCAGCTCTTGGGGGCGTTCATAAAGCCCATAACCTAAAGAGAAACTTAGCATTGGACTATCAGAATGGTTTACAACCTCAGACTGTTGCCTATAAGCGTTGTCAAAAGAAGCAGACTCACAGCAACAATTGTACAGGCAGAAACGAATGACTGCACTGGAAGCCTCCAAATAGAAATCTAGAGAACACTTGTCATAGGCAGAAGTACAAAATAGCTTAGATTAGAGGCTTGCAGTTAGCACAGTCATCACAAAAATGATTATGTTGTTTGAGTGAAAAGAATGCCAGTACAAGATATACCTGAATCTTAGAAATACACAAGGTGTTATCTATCGAGGATAAATTGCTCTGTCTTTATAGCTCAATGCTCTGAATAGCTCAGCCTTCTTATCTAAAACAGAAATTTGCAACCTTGCTGGGTTTCCTTTCCTCTGAAAGAAAATGTTGCATATATAAGTTCTTGGAAAGCATGTAACACTGATGATTTTACTGGTGAATAAAAGGTGGTCTTTGTGAGATTCTAATCCCTTAGATTACTTTAAACTCGCGCTCACTGGAAGAATACAGTCTGCAGTAACTTCACCTAAGTGTTATTTACTGATGGCTGCCTTTTTTTTTTTGGAAACTATAGTTTTGGTGATGAAGCATCCTGTAAAAAACGAGAGGATTATCTGGAATGGCCTGAATATTTTATGGCAGTTGCATTTTTGTCAGCACAGAGAAGCAAGGACCCAAGTTCTCAGGTAAGAAGTCAGTATATACAAGTAACATAACCTAATCTGCCTTACACATCACATCAGATGCACATGTAGCATTTTCAGGGTTTTCTTATTAAAAGTCATTTTAGTATATAGCTTTTGAATTTTTAACATGATCAGCATTTTTTGTTACAGAAATTCTTTTATTGGGGCTGACCTCATGTGTATAATTCTGTGTGTACATTTGTAGCTTGGAGTTTTGTAGGTATTCCCTTCATCTGAAGGTTAAAATGACGCATACATTTATTTTTTCCTTTTTCTTGTAAGTAGAATTACAGTTAGAGGAGGATATAACTACTGAAAGTTGCAGATTGTAAATTTTTTTTTTAGATTTATCACCTCAGAAGTTCCTTTTCCTCACCTGCAAGAGTATAAAAATTCCTTTTTGTTTGTTATTGCATTCAAGTTGTCTCTCTCTCCATCCTTTACTTCGTTCCTGTACCTCTCTTGGACTTAACGTTGGTTGGAGGTGATAGATAACCTCTCATGAGACGTGCAGTTCTGCAGCACCCAATCAAGCTGTTGGTTTCCTTTCCCTGAAAAATTTCAGGAAGAAGATCCCAACAAAGCAATGGATTAAAATGTATGTAAACAGCCTGCTCAATTACTTCCTGGCTTCTGTATGTTATGGCTGTCAGTTCTCTGAAGCATGTTTATTTAGGGCTAAATTCTTGTTTACCCGGTGCTGGTTAATAAATACATTGTGTAAATTAAAATCAATGCTATTGCTGTTTCAGTACATCTAAATTATGGACACAAAACTTAAAATTCTTCGTCACTTCCTCAGTCTAAAAGAAGGCCTGTGTGCAGATTTGGATTAAAGCAGTAGAAGGTGGGAGTTAAAGTGTCTGGTCATTTGGTGTGTGTTTGCATAAACAAGCCATGCAGGCTGAGTGCTTATCTCTAGCTAGGTCAGAACTACCACGTTTTTGTTCAGTCATCCATCCATTTTCTTTAGCTCCTGCTGCTGCTTATATTGCACTGGAAAAACTAGTTTGGGGAGCTGAACTGACAGAAAACTTGTACGTAGCACTGTTAGTTGTGTGCTGGTTCTGCTCCCTGAACTTGGTTCACTTTGACAAGGAACAGTGCTGGCAGACTGAGTTGAGGACTGTGTGGCTAGAAGGTAGCAGGCTTGCATCTGCCCTGGTCTGCCTGTTGGGTTCAATTGTGACCTTGTTTATTGTAGCCTTGTCACGTTCAAGACTGTGTGACACATATGAAGTAAAGCTCATATCTCTAAAATTTGTAGCACTGACTTTAGCTCTTCTTTTTTGATTTATGATTTTTTTGCATGCTGTTGGTCCTATGCGAGTCTTATTTTTTTCAGGTTGGTGCCTGTATTGTAAATTCAGAAAACAAGATTGTTGGAATTGGGTACAATGGGATGCCTAATGGCTGCAGTGATGATGCACTACCTTGGACAAGAACAGCAGCACATAGATTAGACACAAAGTATCCTTACGGTAAGGCTACTTGTAGCTGACAAGTCAGACTTCTGATGTTCCTGTATATGAAAGATCATTTGGTAGAACTTCAGTCTGTTTTTCTTCCACTCATCCATCTTTGTTAATGTGCTCGTACATGATGCATCAGAATAATAATCACAACTCTGAAAGTAAATTAAAGGTCTTCATGAAGGGATGGCTTCTTTGTGAAGTATGTTTATAAATGGTTAGCCATTTTGGACTTTGAAATGAAGTCTGGTAAATGTAATGCAGCTTATCAGCACACAGTGCATGCAAATGATTGCTGTTTTGGTGTGTTTGTCTCCATGGAAATTACTGAAAGCACGTATATGCAAAACAAATAATTAGTCTAAAGTACTGGTATTAAAATTGTAAACTGCAGTGGTTGTAGGAAATCCCAGTATTCAGGTGTTTGTGGCATAGATAATACATGTTATGACTTGTGGAGTTGAAATTTGTCTTAAGTATATGATCACATACTGTCATTCCATGCCTCTTCTCATTTCATGTCATGGTAGATCCTCGCTGCTACAAGTGAAATGACTTTCACTATTTATTTCAACCTATGATTTGATTCACCTTTACTAAATGGAGAGATTGAATGAGGGGCAAGGACAGTTTCATGGTAAATAAAGCTGAATGCTACTTTGGATTGTGTCTTCACAGCAGGCTTAGTTTGGCTTTCTGCAAGCTTGCTTTGAAGGGTCCTCTGTGATTATTGGCACATCTATCAAACAAGGCTGCACAGTTAGACCTCTGGGCCATGTGTGATTTGCAGAAACCAAAGAGGATGGTTCTCTGAGCTGCCCGAGGCTTCACTCCATGAGGACTGACTGTTGCTGGGCATGGAAATAGTATTGAGAGTTGCCTTGCAGATTTCAGTAGCTGATGTTGGGGATGAACTGTGGTTAAGACTAATAAAGAAGGGGGGAGTGCATGCTGTCTTCAATCCCTCTTCATGTTTTTACTTCCACACCAGCTCCTGCTGAACCTCTGTGGGGTGAGACTGGTGCAGCAGGAGCTGTGGAAGCAGGTAGTTCCTTCATTTTGTGCTTCATCTTAGTCCTTCCTGGGTTTGAAAGTGGAAGGGGAAAGAACCACAAAGCCAAATGAGAACCCTTGAGAATTTCTCCCTTGCATGAATGAGGGGCAGTGAGCACCAGAGTTTGGTTTTTATAAAGATACTGACTCCTCCAATATGAAGTATTTATTTCTGTGCAATAAATCCATGTTCTTGTTTCTAACTTCTAAAAATTGATCTGATACAGGAATAGGACTTGCATTAGCTTGGAAATTTCTTGTGTGCATCCAAAGCTCTTTCTAAACAATGATATTACATTTTCCTATAGCATTAAAGTGAAAGATTATATGCTGTGGTTCAGCTCAATTAATCAGCTTTGTATTTGAGTTCTTACAACTCTTGTACTTGTCCTTGTTCATTTCACCAATTCATCATCAGACCTCTACAACTAACTCTTAAACTTGGTAAGATTTCTTGTTATTTTTCATAAGAGATGCACTGCTTACAGTAGCACCAGCTCCTGCCAAATTTTAACATCTGTTCTAAAGCACAGAAGCTCTGGTTTTACATATAATGAAGATACTATAATGGTTCACCATGGTACGACTGCTTTTTATTTATAGGGTGTGGAAATAAACATTACCCCATTGATTAAAGATAAAGCTGAAAAGAGAATATTGATTTTGGTTGAGTCGTTATGCTTGCTGTAAGTTCTCAGTTCTGAACTAAGATCAGTGTGTGTGGTCTTTGGGTCTTAAGCACGTTCCAGGAGAGATGCAGAAATAGGGCTCTCAAATATAAAACTCATTGACTTAAACTAAAAAAAAAAAACAGATGGGATTTGTGGAAATATTTTATACAGTAAAATATGAGGGTTTCAAAAATTTTATTTTTTGTTAATGCTTATCAATTTTGAAAGCTTGGAGAGATGAGTTCATTTCTAGGAGTTGCTCCAACTTGTGCCTTTCCCCTAAAGAATCTCAGTCTTCACCTCTTCAGAAAACATCACCACTCTGTAATAAAGTGTCTACTGTGACGAATTAACAACCTGTTTTGTAATTTGCAGATCATTTAAAATCTAGCAGTTTCTTATTAATCTTGATAGCACAGTTGACAGACCAGGCAACTACATATTAAAAAAAAAAAAAAAAAAATCTGCTTTAAAAAATTGTGGTAGATTCAAAGCGATGCATAGAATTGCTGCTAAAATCTCATTAAGCTGTCATGTTTTCCGTACTGCTTTTGCTGATTATCACTGCATTTGTGTAAACTGAGCTTTTTAGCTTTGATTTTTCTTGACTATCTTATTAAAGGATAGTACGGTCTTACTATGTGCTCCATGAGCTTATCATGGGAATGCTGGCACTGACTCCACTAGAGCTGGGGTGTTGTTTAGTATGTAAAGATGGCAACTGTGCATATACTACCACACTACCCTGGAAGATATCTTCTAGAGCTGTTTTACGCATCTGCACTGCTACGGAAAAGGGCTGAGGTTGGATCTCAGTGTTGACCTCCTTGTTTTAAGTGCTGCATTAGCTTAGCATAGCCATCAACTCACTTTCTGTGTCTTTTGGACCTCTCTGAAGGGCTGTCTCCAGAGCAAAGCCTAGGTGTTGCTCTGAGTGGCTCCCTCAGAGGCTGCTACAGAGTGCAGGGTGGAAAAAATACTGTAAGAAAACTCTTGTCCTGTTGTGCAAAGCCTGCTGAGACAGTATGCTTAACCTTCTTCCCTCCCTCCCTCAGGCCATACTGGGGGATATGCAATGCATACTCTGTTTCATGCTGTGAAAGTACCACTGTGGTGGGCTGCAAAAAAGTCATCTTATTTCTTTATGCAGTTTGAACTGAAACATACAGAATAAATGTGTGCTGCCCTGGGACTTTTGAGATGTGGAGCTGTGTGAAAACCCAGGACCAAGTTCTATGTAATACTGATGGACACCTGAGTAAGATGAACATGAACTAGCATGTGCCAGTTGGCCTTAGGGCCAAGGGTCACTTCCTGGCCCTGTCTGTGTTTTGTGTTACAGATACAGCGGGGGATTGGACCCAGAGGCTATCCTTGCAGAGCTGTGTTAGGTGATCCTGTAATAAATTTATTGAGCTTCAGCAGAACAGATGGATACACTGACCCCACAGCTCTGATCAGTTTCGCTGTTTTATAGCTAGAAAACTTCCTATTTCCATGCTAAATTGATGGTTTTATACATTCTTGAGTATTCTAGCGTTGTTCTTTTAGCTTTTCTTACTCAGTGCCATCAACCCTTCTTCCTCCTTTCCCTCTTTGCCCATGCACTTACTGATAACAATGATCTTTTGAACTTTTTGTTTTAAGGCTAAATGAATCCTGTCAGTCTAACGTTTTACTACATCTTGAGTCCTATTGGCTTGAAATTGTCTCAGTTATCTGTGTCTGCCACAATATAGCATATACTGTACGTATCTCGCCTGCACTGTGAAGTGTGACTTCTGCTCAGTGCAACGTTAAAGAAAGGGCTGTGCTTGATTAAAAATTATTTTTACCCTTATCTAAATGTAACCTGAGCTGCTACTGGAAGAAAGCATGAAAATGTTAGGTAGTGCTCATTTTACCTTAGAGGATGCAAATGTTAGCAAGGTGTTTGAATGATACAGGAATCATGATGTAAATCACCCATATTGATACTCTGTGTTCCCTATGAGAATCTTGAAGCCAGTTAAACCTTTTCTTTTGAGCTGTGGGATATACTTGAGCAGGTTAGTAGTATAGCTCTGTTACTTCAGAAAGTAGGTAATGTTTTGCTGAATGCTGTTTTTTTTCACAGCACAAAATCAAGCTGCTTTTTGTTGCTTTGTGGGAACTGGTTCTTTCCAGGCTGCCAGTCAGTGACGGAAATGGGGATGTTTCTGTGCACCTCAGAGAAATAGAAAGCTAGTTCTGAACACCCACTTCACTGAGATGTTATTAAAAGCTCTTCCTAAAGCTTTGTGCTCAGTACAGTGTATGGGAATTTCTTAATAATTACACAGAATTCTGGCGCTCGGAGTCAAAAGTGAATGCCCCCTGTTGCTGTTAGATGAATGCAAAGCTTTGATGATGCATTATTTCTTCTCACTGATCATTTAAAATACTACATTTTTCTCCTATTAACGTAAGTCTTACTACTGATGCTAGTTGCTATGCTCCTGTTACGCCCTCTGTCTCCACTGTAATCTTAGAACATCTATTTGACAACCAGTCTCTAATTAAGAGGGTTTTAAATTAAAATGACTGGCAAATATAGAAACCTCTAAGCAATAGAGAAAATACTGAGTAAATATGCTTACAAATATTTATACAGGTTCAGATACGATAAAATATGTGCTGTGGCAGAAAGTATACTCTAATTGAACAGTACCTGCTGTGTAAAATGAAACAAACTGTTAGCAACATTTTGTTGTGTTAGGATTATGAGCTTTTCGTCAATTTTTTTAGAGATGAACGCTTGAAGATATTCAGGCAAATGTTACTTTTGTAGAAGCTGTTATTTTGACAGCATAAAACTTGATAAGGCACTAAGAAGAAGTGTGATGCACTCTCTCCAACTGGCAGTGCAAAGCCGAGGCTTCAACTGGAATGGGGATCTATAGGAGACGCTCTCCGCCTGTAGCCTCTCACTCTCTTATCCTGCCTGGATTTCTTTCTAATTCTAGTGTCTAACACCAAATGTCTAAGAAGTTTGGGAATTTTGAAATAATTTCTCTTATTCTGCTTGCCACTTAAGGAACAGCCTTGTGTTCTGTTGAGATTAGTGCAATCTTGGAGCACGATGGTAAGAATGGATTGGATTAGCTACTGCTTTTCAGGTTCTGCAAAAGGCTTCCCTGCCTGCTCCCAGCAGATTTTATGTGCTGCTCATAAATGGGCTGGCTAGTCCCCATGTTCACTTCCCAGTTCTCCTCTTTTAACAGAACAAATTAGTTAGGTGGGGCTGTTCCCTCTTCCCGACTGCAGTCTAAAAAGGCTAAGACTCCAATGAAATCTGGTCGTGTTAACCTTGCCTTCTTGCCCTGACCAAGCAACTGCTCTTAGAGCACACAGAGCAGGAAAGAGTCAGCTGGCATCAGTGTTCTATCTTCCACTAATATAGTGAGCAGCATCCACCCCCTACACTTTCACAAAGGTTGAAATAAGATTGGCATCGTTCTACAGTTTCCATCAAGCACGATCCCCAGGAGCTGTCATTCCAGAGCTGGTGCTTTTCAGTAATTCCTCAGTGTCTTCTGCATCCTTGCTGTGTCCAGCACTGGTGCAATGAGTAGAGGGTAGCAGGCAAGTAGAGCTTGGACTAAGTTGGGATGGACAAGGGGCAAAAACAAGGTGAAGATTTTACCAAAGGACTGTTGGTAAATTACATAACTCCCTGTATGCGTTTTTGTGCCAGCTTTATGTTGCAGAACACCTTGCTAGTATCATATATTTGTTCTAGAGGCCTATAATATTTGTCAAGTTGGCTAATGTGGCAGTAGAAAATCTTATGTTAACAAATAAGTCAGAACATGTTGCGTGACGCTGTATGCATTGAAGTGTATTTCCTTTAAATGTAACACCATATTTACTGCGTAAATTCTCCAAATTCTTGGTCTGTTTTTGTTAGTAATTAACTACATAGAAAGGTTGCTTCCTGGAACCTTTCCTTTGATTTCTGTTTAAAATATGACATGTTACAATGGTCCATACTCCCAAGATCTTCATCAAGCCTTGTGAGAATTTTCACAGTATTAATAAACATTTTGAGTAGTGCTAGTGGTCATTATAAAATCACTGATCAAAACAGTCTTAGAAGGTGGAAAGAGTAGTTCTGACTTGGCAAGTCAGGAAGAACATATTCATGGTAAGTGTCTAATACTGAAAAATGACCATCAGTAGGGTCAGTAGGGGGGTCTCTTATTTGTGGGTAGGTTTAAGGATGGGCATTACCTCATATGCAGTAAAAGTGATATGCAGCAAGAAAAGATAGAAACACAACTTGGAATTAATATTACCAGAAATTAATCAGTCCTCTATTTTTTCCCCCTCTCATGCACATTGTATTAGGTGAAGGAAATGTCACAGGACACACTGTGTTATTGCATGATTGCTTCTTCAGCTAATGAAGTCTTCAGAGAATACTTTTCAAGCCACTTTTCCAGCATAGAAACCAATCTTCAAGACCTAATAGATCTAATATAATGTTAACTATATGTGAATATTATTTAAAAAAAAAAATAACTGGGGGTCGTCAGAGGGTATTGCAAAAATTCTAGTTCTAATGGTCTGCTTAAATAAACAGCTTTCAGATTTCTGAGCACTATGAACCTGTGCAAGGTTTCTTTAAGTTAGTGTCTTACTGTCTGAGAAGGAACAATATTTTACTAATAGTAGCTGGAGTTCTTAATGGGTTAGAAAACTTTGTGTCCTTAAATGGGGACTACTCTTGTTATTACAGTTAGGGATTTTGAAATCCTGGGTTTGACTTTTGTTTCTTTAAGTAATGCTCTCTACAAAGTTGGTCAGTAAAGAAATCTGTTATCCACAGAATTTTTTAAATTTATAAATTAAACAGTCAATGCCTATTTGCCAGAGAAAGAAAAATGGGAATGAGGGAGTGAAGAACTATGGAACAAAATCTGAAAATATTTGTCCGATGCCTGTACCTTATTATGGACCACCTAACCTACTATCTCTCACAGGTACCAGTAGCAGGTGTCTAGGGAAATGTGTAAAACAAAGACACAGAAAATAATAGTTCCCCAGAATAGTTTTCCAAGTTCAACCTACTGAGCCAGAATGGTTTTGTAATTAATAGTCCGATAAACAAGGGGTGTAGAAAGTACTGGAAGAAAGAAGAGGACTCCTTTAATCAATGCAAACCTTTGTGCTTTAAGGAATATGTTTTTGAGTTACAGTGTGCATGAAAAGCCCACCTCCTCTGGTTTTTGAAACTAAATCCTGTTGGCTTTGCTGGAGATTCCAATGCTTTTTGTCTTGAGGTGACTGCTTCATTCATATTGTCATCTCTGTGCCTTCTTTCTCTCTCTCTTCACTCTAGAAAGTCATAGTTGTTTTTAACTTCAGATTGTGTTACGATAGTCAGGAGGCAAAATATCTTCCTCCCTCACTCCAGCTGATGATCTTTTATAAGTTTTTTTTGGCCTGAAATTGTTTTTGCTTGGAGGAGGTTTGTTGTTGAAAGTCTGGAAGTCTGTAGTTTCTAAAAGACTTTCTCATCAGTGCAGGAGGAAAGTTATTGTGGTACTAACACTGAAACGTGTCTGTTTTTATGGCTGAAGACTTCTAAGTTTTAGTAAAGTAGAAATATTTGGGATATTAGGAATTAGGGTGTTTGTTTGTTTATTTATTTATTTATTTCCGTGAGCCTCTGAAAACATTTTCTCATCCTTCTTTCTTTTTTGTGGAGGCCTTTGAGACAACTGCCTGGAACAGAAACATGTTGTTCAAAGAAACTGAAAAGTGATGGCTCTGTCTAGTCACCAAACCCAAGTTCCAGGTGCTGCTTTATGCTTACTCTTCTGTAACCCCAGAAGAATAATTCTGTGGCTATTTCTTTGAAGGCTGTATAAAATTAATGTAACTCAGTAATATATTTGAAGTTAAAGTGTTTTCTGGGTTTTCAAAGTTTAAAAGTGCCTATACTTTTATATCTTGTATAATTGATGGTACAAGTCTAAAATACAGTGTGATGCAATTGTTGTTGTAGTAGAAATAATAGTAACAAACCATCTTTTATTTCCTTTGCTGTTTTTAATTTCATTTTTTTATGTTGGTTTCTGGCTTTTCTTTGTATGAGAAGATACGTGAACAGTGTAATTACAGTGATTCTGGGGGCAGCTTGTCTAAGTTGATGCTGAGCTTTCTTTAGTAAGTGTTTGGTCCTTAGTGACTTGCCTACATGGGAAAGTTTGTGTGCTGTATGTTAGGCTGTAAATTTATAGCACGTTAGCTGTTACATAGAAATTCCATGTAGACCTTTACCACATATGGAAAACATTTCCATTCAATAAGGATTCCTGCATGCTGAAAGTGCAGCACTCAGTTATTCTTTGTGTGGCAAGATCATGCACACAAGGGTCAGTGCACAGTTGCAACTATATTATGAACTTCTGCTCATAACTTTGCCTGTTTTAATTTTCCCATGTATGGGAGAGAGACTTTTTTTCCTTTTTTTTGGTTTTCTTTCTTTTTTATCAGTTCTTCAAAATAAGCAGTGGAGAAAACCTCTGCTTAGTGTTGTCTGCACACGCAGGTCTCTGGCTGAGCTCAGAGCCACACTTGAGTGCCTGTTTACAACATCAGTCATGGCACCAGACAGTTTCTCAGTAGGCAGATGAATACATTCTGCAACTTGCTATCATTCCTAGGTGTAAACAGAAAGTTGTAGCACAGATTCTATTTCCTAATGGTTTTCTTCAGAAGTTCATAGCGGATGACCTAAACTGAGCTCTCTTCTCCTTTGTTTGTAACATGTTACGTGCTGTACTGATGTGTACTGCATAACAAGTTGAACCCTCAGACGCCATCTGTCCAGAAGAGCTGTTGTGTAATGGAGGAATAAGGCAGGGTTGTCTGTTGTTACCTGGCTTATCTCAAATCCATGGAGAAATAGAGGACTTTGCTTTCTTGCTTGGGAAGTCTGGCACCTTTTAATGAGCAGTAAACTTGCTTTAATATTAAAGCTGGGACGTTTTTATGGTTGAGTGTGTCTTGTGTATTCTTGGGGTGAGAGAATCATGCAGCAGCACTGAGCAGTTCTGGGACCCAGAGGACAGAGCTGCTCAGTTTTACTTCATGATTCTCCTGCCTTTAAGAGCGCGCAGTGTGCTCTTAATAACCATAAGAATGTTCCTATCTGTGCATGTAAACACATAAATGAGCTGTTTTATACTGGCAATTAGATACTCCAGAGAGTTGTGAAGCTGTGAGATATTGCTTCACTTAGGGTGGTTGCAACTACTTGGCCCACAGCCTACGGCTTTGTTGCCTGATATAGGTGTTAGCAAATGGCAATGCTAATGTGCTTAATGATATCATTACTAATCAGCAGCCTGGTCAGAACAATTGACCTTCATTGATCTTGGTGTTTCTGCTTTTATTTCTTCCTCTACCCTTTATGACAAGCTGTGCAAGCTATTTGCCTTTGAAAGGATGTAACACTTTCATTTTAGTTTGACTGATTTATTTTAATGAATGACATTATGAATTGTCATTTTGTTGGTTTTTTTTCCAATCAGTGTGCCATGCTGAACTGAATGCCATCATGAACAAAAACTCAGCTGATGTGAAAGGGTGCAGCATGTATGTTGCCTTATTTCCATGTAATGAATGTGCAAAGCTCATCATCCAGGCAGGTAAGGAGAAGTGCCAGCCTGATTTGTCAGTGTTGCATTGCTGCTTTCTCATCGGTATCATGGATGTATTTGATGTTAAATTGCTGCTGTTAGATCTAAATTAATTGCACTGTCAACTTCATAAGATGCTACTTGTGGGTTGGGTTTTTTTTTTTTGCATCTGAATGGTGCCAAATTTTTCCAGTGCTAATTGCATCTTCTGTGATTCTAAGTGTGCTTCTAATTTAGGTTTGTAACTTCTTAGACCAGGAGCTGCCAAAGAACAACACAGGCTTTGCATATAATTACTGTCAATTTTACTGTGCACTGACACTGAATAGAGTAGGGCAGAAAGAAATAAACTTCTGCCATGACAAAAGGTCTGTTGGGAGTATATACATGAAATTTTAATTTGAACGTGATGCATGGTAGATATTTGAAGATTTTAAAATATCTTTGCTCATAAATGTCACAAGACTTCTATGATCCTACTTTAATTATGTCTTTTATTACAATTGTTATAAATCTGTGCCACTGCAGAAAGTGTGCTGGCCTAAATGTGTTGCCTCTTTTGAGATTAGGCATCTGCATTAGGCTGCAGTTCCAATGAACATCTCTGCTTAAGCAAAGCATATGTTTTGTGCATTGAGTAAAGTCTTGTAGCCTTAGCATGCATTGCTATTCTGAGGACTTCCTCTTGCCACTAATGGACATCAGAAAGAACAAAAGAAGAAAAAAGAGTAGCAAAGGGAGTACTTACTCTTTTTGGTCTGTAAGACTTGAAGTGAAGAGGGGTGAAGGTGGAAAGACAGTGGCATTCTTTATTTGTGCTACATTTCTCTTATTTACAGAATAAAAATCGAGTGGTCTTCAAAGGTAGATTTGCTGCTTGTTCTCGGTTAGTCACTCATGCTTTTCCTTATGCAATTAAGTCAGCAAAAAATGCATTGTATTAATATTTATGTTACCTGGTAAATATAGGAAGATGATGTTAGGCTCTGAAATGTCTCTTGGGTCAGTAGAAATATAATTTCTACTGTAAGTAGGGCACAAATTGTTAATTTGTGCGTGGATCATTCCACAATTTGAGGCAATGTGTGCTTATGAAACTTGGAACTCAAAGTTACTTACTGAATAGAGAAGAAAAAAGCATCTTTTTATAGCTATGTATTTGGAAGGGAATTGAAATTTGACGTTAAGTTCTTTGGGAGGAATTTCATCTATATGAGGTAATGGGACAAGTTTTCAATAGCTTTTTGCAAAAATGCTTAATTTCTACTCCATCTGTCTTGAGGTTTTGCCTACTTTTGCATACAAGTTTTTGGATCTGGTCTTCTAATGTAAACTTAGGTGAAATCAGGGATAACATTTTCTAATGTTCTGAGAAAAATGCCTTCCCCAACAGCTTTACCTTACACAGACCTATTTTCATGTACAAACTCTAAGCAAAGGTGGAGCATAGAGTTCTAAAGCATGTGGATGAGTGCTGTCTTTTCTGATTTTGTGTACCAGTTTTTATGTCATTACTTTTTTTTTTTCATGGGATTCCATTTTTTTTTCTTTATGACCTTTGTAGGCATAAAGGAAGTTATTTTTATGTCTGACAAGTATCACGACTCTATTGAAATGACGGCGGCACGGCGGATGTTTGATTTAGCTGGTATTGTATACAGGTAAGAGAGCTTACAACTAATTTTTATTTCGGAAAGGAAGAAAATTGTGAAAAAGACCAACTTTAGGATAAAAGTGGCTTTCTTTGCATTGTACAAGTTTTTATTCTCTGACAGCAGGCTTGCTCTGTATACCTGTGAAAGATACTGGGTTGACGGACAGTTGCAACATTATCTTTCCCATATGTGTTGCTGAAGTTCAATTTCATAATGTTTGTATGAAAAAAATATCCACTTGGAGTATTCCTTTTCATTCCTGGACTTCTTTTTTTTGAGAAGAAAATTTCACTTCATTTGCCAGTGAAATTATGAATGCGATAGTTCATTTGTTATGTTTTACTTGGAGAATCATTGCTGACCTTGGTTTGAGTAGTTTAGACTTCCCAGTGAGTTCTTAGAGTCCCTTACCACAAGAATTATCCATCAGTGTAACAGAAATGACTAACTTACTTTACAAGGATGACCTGACACCTATTGAAAGTTCAGTATCATCTTGTTGCAGTCAATTTGGGCAGGTATCAGATCAGCCACCTGCAATTAATTCTTGGTGCATACAGCTGTTCAATCTTCTTTGGTCAGCATTTCTTGTGAGAAAAGTATAAAGTCTGGAATACTTGCCTTAAAGTAATGAGAAACTGAAAAATGTTTGAAGAATAGTTTTTGAAGATGCTGGCAGAGATACCTAAAGACAATCTGTTCAACAGCTAGTTTGATAGCAGTAACATGCTGTGGGTGAGGCTAATTATCTGGTCAGGGAGGCATTGCAACTCTGAAAAGTTTTACAGTATTAATATAAAGACTTCGAAAAATTTGCAAACATAACAATTCTGACAGATAAAATTTTATGATGAAAGGTACCTACTGGGTTGAGAAACATCCATGAAAAAATACAGCAGTACTTGAAATTCAGTTTTAGCCCTTCAGTGTATTTTGTGCCTACTAAGACTGTTTGACTAAGAAGCATAAATCATTCCCTTGCAAGTCAAATCTTATAACTTCTCCAGGGTGAGAAGTGTTTCTTGTATTTCAGACTGCTGTTCTGGACAAAGTACGTTATAGTCTGTCAGAGTTTCTGTGGCCATGAGCTTTCCTATGTTGACTGTTCTTTATTCTTGTATTGATTATTAAAGATGTAGGTGGTATTTAATGCATCTCTTGAACTGAATTGCAGAGCTTAATTAGGCACTAAATCCACACAATTTGCATAATCCTTTGTTTACTGGTAGACTGTAAAATATATGCTCAGTCCCCAAATACCTTCCTTGCTAATTGCTGTAGCAGATGCTCTAATGATAATAAAAGGAAACAATTTGTGGCTGTATTAATTTTATAGTTTTAAAGTTACAATTTTTAAATTATTCCCACTTAACTAGTTTGGTTTTTTTCCCCAGTACAGTACATAATGTGATCTATTCCCCTAGCAAAAAAATAAATAAAATAAAAAATAATAATACACAGAGGCAAAGTTTGAAAATGTTCTTTGAAGATGTGGTAAGGAAAAAATGCCATCAAAATATTTGTCAAAATACATTTCAGATATTTTTCTATATACACATATGCCTATGCATATATAAATGTATATAGTATATGAAAATACGTGTGTGTGTATATATATATACATGTGTATATATATGTGTATGTGTATATATGTATGTATATATATATATATATATATATATACATATATACATGTGTGTGTATATATATGTATAAAATATTTGAAATATTTGAAAACAATCCCAGCTCTGGTAACATGATGCTACCGCCTGCAGCTAAGTTGTTAAAACTTCTTTGACTCCTGGGTAATTTATGAACTCCAATAGCCGAAGAATGTACAGGCTGACCCACCCCATGTGTCTTTTTTTGTCTTAGTCTTTCTTGTCCAGGTTTCTCACAGTGTGGTGCACTATAATTGGCTCCCACAGAGATGAAAACTATGTGAACCCAAGGAGGGTTTTTTTCCTTCAAAATGTGGCTGGAGCTAAAGCAAGCAAAGTGTTTTAACTACTCACTAACTAATATCTGTATTTTTCTTTATTTTAGGGAATTCAAGCCAAAATGTAACAAGATCATCATTGACTTTGATTCAATTAACAGCAGACCAAGTCAGAAACTTCTGTGAATTAAGTCCCATTATATCTCTAGAAGACTGTGATTATCCTTCTCTAAAAAGCTGCTAATGCCTTTCATCTTGAAGTTACTTGCAACTTTTTAATGGCTTCTACAGTAAAGTAGACTTCTAAGAAATGTAAGGCATAAAACGTTCCCCTCACTTCATCTTGTCATGTGGAATCTAAATCAACTTAAAATTTTTAATGCCTTTATCAAATCTGCTTTAAAAGTCTAGAGACATGTAGATGAGACAATATAATGTATGTACAGAAAACTGTTCTGGTTCTTGCTGCATTCATCACCACATGCTCTGATTGGTTGACAACAAACACTGATTTAGACTCAGTTAAACAGCAGTTTTTATTGTAACCAGTAGTACATTCAAATATGCTAATATATGTTGATCTCTATTGGATGTGTGGATCTAAATAGCTGATCCTAATAAATGACAAAATGTGTTGTCCATACAAATACTAATCTTCTAACTTGCATAACACTAGTATTTTAAAAGGTTATACAGATTAAAGTATATATAGTATTTTACATGTGTTACCCAACAAAAGGAAGTTGATTTTTCTATTAACTGCTATCTAATACTGTTATACTTGCGCAGCGGTGAGACAAGAAGTTGTTCTGAGAATGGTTGATGCTGGAGCAAGCTTTAGAGACCTTTCAATTCTTTTTTTTTTAACCAAGACTCCAGAATTGAAAGGATTAGCAGGAGTATATCATTTTTCTCTTACCTTTGGGACTCCTATTTGGAGTAGGTTTTCAGGTATAGAAGGAAATTAGTTTATCGGTCTAAGTTCATTCTAGATGATCCAACACAGTTCAGTCTTAAAATTAACCTGTAAGATAACTCAATCATTTTTTGTCCTTTGAGAGAAATTGGAGATACTCAACCCATATCCACATCTGTGCCAAAAGTGGTAATTATTATGGTGTTAGCTTGTTTCCCAGTGCTGGTGTAGTACTTTCATTTCATAAATGTTGCCTAAAATAATATCCTTTTTAATTTTATTTTGAGATCTGGGAATATATTTTGTGTTCCTTTTCTCTAATTTGATTTTTTAAAATTAAATATGCCTAATGGCTTTGTTTAGATAATTTTTTTTTTTTCTTCTAAAATGTGGTTATACTTCAGTGAGCTTCTATTTTCTCTGAAAAAGCTTTGTTTCATATTTTGGGACATTATGTAATTTGGCTTCATACCAATATGATTAAAGTCTTATTAAAATCTACTACATTGAAGTAGACTCATTATTATAATTTTAAGCCATGTGCTTGGTTCCAGAGTGCTTCTGCTTTTGCAATCATTTGCAAAGCATATTTTGTGTATTTGTGATGTTACATAAAGTGTAATGTTCGTGAAACATTTGGCTACTAAAGGGAGCACTGTAATGTATTACAAGATATGCCCGTTTACAAAGTAATTTCTGATATCTCTTTTTTTTTTCTGTACAACTGCTTTCCACCTCAGAATTGGTCTGTGGCTTACTGCCAGAAGAAGAAATTTGCACATATGTGGAGGATGAGGGTGAAAAATGAAACATTACATTAATAAAATGTCACTAAAACAGCTCGTGCACATCTTTGTCTTTAGTCTGAATTGGAACTAGAAGGATTTTTACTTACACTGTTTTGACAATAGGACAGAGGGAGACAAGCTGCAAAATTTTTGGTTTTGGCAGTAAAATCACTGTTTTCTTCATAGATGTAGATTCGGACTTAGAATATGCATGTATTGTGATTGTGGATAATTTAAACATTTTTATGTAGGGCCTTGGATAATGAGAATGGAAAAAGTACATAAAAATTCAAGGGGTGTTTCAACCAAAGTTCAAGTGTTTCTAGGAATGCACTAGTTTTATAATGACACACACATCGAACTTTCCTGTGCTTGTAAAACAAAAGAGCAGTTCCGGAGAGTACAGTAGGATTTTATATTTCTTCCCATCACTGTTTTTAGTTTATTAGGGCCACATATATATCGTGTTAGGGTAATTTTCAGTTGACTCAGGCTAGCAAGTGGGAGCTCTAATTTCCAGGGCAACTTTATAGAAAGGAAAAAAAAACAACAACATGCACACTTGAGACAATGTGTGCTTAGCCTGAGGTTAATGTTTTAGAACAAATCCTCAAAATTTGACCCTTAACGTTTGCAGGTGTGCCTAGAAATCTCTTTCTGTTTTTCTTTTTTTTTTTAATAGTCCAGGAGATAACACTTTGCCTTCCAGATAAAGAATAATGTCAATTACCAGAGCAAACAGTGAAAATCAGCAAATACAGTAAACTGTGTTTCTGCTCCTGAAGCTCAGGTTGAAGACGAATGGAACCGCATGGGACAGAAAGACAGCTAGAGGCCATTTAGTCCTACTGTTGACGAAATCACGGCTGGCAATAAGTTAAATTCTTTTCAGGCCTTATCCTGTAGACTTCTGCATGTCTCCAAGTGTGGGGATTCTGCAGCCTTTCTGGTCACCCATTCCAAGTACTTTCTCCATACTGTGCTTTTTTTTATACTTTAGTCAGAATTTCTACTGCTTACATCTCGTCTCTCACCCTTTTGCAATACCTGCCTGAAAAAGGTGAGGCTTCCTATCCATAATAACCATGTGATAGGTAGCTCAAGTCAGAGCTGGGTTCCCTTCACCTTCAACCTTTTACTCTGCAGGCTGAATGAATGCTGCTCTCATTCTGTCTCACACATTACATGCTCCACTTCTTCACCATCTCCTTCGCTGTCTGGGGAGCTCAAAGACTACACAACTCCAGATGTGGTCTTAAAAAAAAAAAAAAAAGTTGAATAGAGGAGCAAGAATACTCACTTCTGTTAACCTGCTGGCTCTGTGCTTCTGAGTAGAGCCTGGTACATGATTAGCTTTCTCTGTTGCAAGGGCATTTTGTTGTCTTGACCACCTTGGTCCTTGTCTATCCAGGAACCTTCCATCCATTGAGCACCCAGCCAGTCCTCTTACGTGAAGTTATTCTGTTCCTGGTGCAGGACTCTATTTCTCTCTGGAATTGATCGTGTTTCCATTAACCTTGGCTCCATTTTGAATGACCAGCCACCAGCCTTTGAGCCCAATCTTTCACCAGTACAGTGCCTCACAGGACCTGTCCTGGCATGGAAAACCACCTCTCCAGAGGAAAGGCGGGCAGCCAGAGTGGGGTTTTTCTTAGGGGACTGTTTCAAAAACACAGTGCAGGAAGCTGAAAGGAGGCTCTAGGGAGCACTGTGAGGGTGGTTTCAAAGGCGGGCATTATGAAAGAGAGCGTAACAGTTGTGCTTGGGGCTCTGAACACTGAGCATTTTGCAGCTTTGTAAACGAGTAATATCTTCACAAACAAAAATTACACTGTGACCAGCGTAATCATTCAAATTTCCAAAACAGCATAGAAAAACTGCCAGTGAAAGCTCCTCTGGTGCATCACTCAGACCGAAAGCTCTACGTGCAACTCCAGAACCTGCAGTAGTTCATCATCAGCTGAAAAGAGTCTTGCAGGAGTTTTAACCTTGCTGAGAACAAGCAAAAAGTAAAAATTCTGAAGTGGGGCGATGGGAGACTTGGCGCAGGTGAAGCGTGGCGAGGCACGGGGCGTTCAGCTGCTCGGCTGAAGCCGCAATCAGGCCGCGCTTAGCCGCACCTGGGAGGAGCTGATGAGGCGTGAGCGTGCGGAGCTCGTGGCACAAGATGGCGGCGCGCCGGGGGCAGGGCGTGTGCTTCAGCCAGCGAGGAGCGAGTCTTGCAGCGGGGGGCAGCGCTACGTGGGGGTAAGTGTGACAGACTGTGAGTTTGCGGCTTGTTCTGTGCTTTTACCTGAGTTTTGTACTTTTGAGAGGAGTTGGGTTGGAGAGCTGCTGTTTCTTCTTGGGCTTGTTGAGGCGTGTGCTGGGAAATCAGGCCTTTGTCCGCGTGCTCCCTCTCGTCTAAACGCGAGACAGAAAATGGAGCTCGGCGTGCTGGATTTTTAGTCGTTAGCGCTATTTGCAGTGCTCTTAGCAAACCGTGCCCTAACGGGAGTGAGAGTAACGTGCTTCAGCCACGAAATATGCACCGTAAAGAAGCAGTTGCCCGCCGTTTCCTGGGATTTCCCACCCCGCGTTCTCACCTCCCCGCTCCTTCGCTGCTTTCGCCCAACGCGTCCTTCAGTTCTGCGGGGCTCCTCACGCAAACGAGGGGGAAAGAAAAGCTTCACCTCATCCCTTCAGCGGTGTCAGCTTTGCCCCCTGCTTTGCTGTGTTCTTCAGTTGATTATGCAGCTCCGTGCAGTCTACTACCTGGCATATCTTTGTTTTGGTTTCTTTTTTTTCCTCACCTGTTCAATCAGCTCTGCTAATCAGAGTGTTGCTGGGTAAACAGGGCTGATTAAAATTAAAATTTCAGTTTTGCGTTGTAAACAATGTGGCAGTTCAATACTTGTGCTGTTAAGGTACTACTAATAACGCGTCTGGTGTTTTTTCTGGTGTGGTTCTCGTGCTTATTCCTTGAGAAGCTGATGAGTTTTGCTAGAGAGCTCCGCGTTCAGTTGCCAGGATTTTGTGGTTACTTGCGTTTCCTTTTTCAGAAGTGAGTGCGTAATTACCTTGGATATATGCATCATTTTTATTCTTTCTGGTTTTAAATCTCATGGGGAAATTGCTCTGTAAGAAATGAGTCTTTGCTGTTAGCACTGCTTATCTGAGAACAAAACAAAAACAAATAAAAAGAGAACATCCAGAAACCAGTTTGGTGTGGAAACGACGTGAAAAAGTGTTAATTGTTGTTTGGAGGCTCTGCCTGAGGAAAGGGGTGGAGGAGACCAGAAGGCCCCCGTCAGGAAAACAAACCTGTGATAGGGTGCTAAAATTTGAGCATGAAAGGAAGAGAGAAAAGGACTTGTGGTCGCTGAAGAGCTGTTATTTGTTGGGTGCTTCGAGGCCAAAGGGAGCTGTCTGGAAACAGGAGGAGAACGGACCTCCCTGTGATTTGGGCAAATAGGCTTAGTAAGAAAGAGGTTGGAGATCTTGAGCAGCTGAGGCAATTCTGTGCTGAACTAAAGGAGCTTTTCAAAGTAATTAGGGAATAATAGTGTCATGGGTTTTTTCTTTCTTTCTTTCTTCTTCTTCTTTTTTTTTTTTTTCCCCAGAAGATCTACCTTTCTCTTGTGCTAATTAAGGTTATTGTCTTTTGAAATTCACAGGCTGTGTAGTGTGCCTGCTGTTAAGAGGTCGCTGCAGAGTACCTACGTGGTTGGTTAGTGGAAGCACAGTGAAACTGCTGTGTAGGCTGAGTGCAGGTGGTAACCTGGAGGTACATGAGAGAGGCTGACTGCATCCCACTGAGAGTCAGCATCTCTCCAGAAATAAAACTAGCCAGCTGCCTCTGGATCAGTGGCTCCAGGTGTGTGCTTTGGGTGCTGCCTGCTCCTCTGCTTCTTACACTTTTGCATCCTCAGTGTCTCTTCTTGCAGTTCCCATTATCTCCTCTGAAGTCTCGTTCTCTCTAGGGATTTCATAGGAGCAAGAGGGGCTGTATGGCATCCCGCAGGATGTAGGTTCCTTAGGATAAGTCTGTGGAGTCCTGCACCCACTAGGACTGACTGAAGCCTGCAATAGGGTGGCTGATGTCTGGGATGGTCCTTCATGTGTTTGGTTTGGGGGAAGGAGCTGTGGGAATTGGCTATAAAAGAACCTTAATAGAGCACTCTGGATTCCGTCCCACTGTTTGCTGCTGTCCACTTCCTTTGCTTTCCTGTTGATTGCTGCTCAGATTGTGAGAAAGGCTGTAACCATTGTCTGCAGTGTGTATTCCCCTTGCAGCTAAGGTGGCTGTACAGTACTACATATTTTCTGCTCATGACAGAATGTAAAATATGTGCTTAACTATCTTTTAAGTCAGTGGGGCTAAAGCTGATATGTGCTCACATCCTTTTCTGGCCTGAGGTCTACAGATGGAGTCTGACATCCCTATTGGCATTCTAACAACGCCTTTCTGACAAAGGCTGCGAACACACAGCTTTACAGCTCAGTAATAAATATTCTGATTCTGGATTCTGCCCTCGAGTAGAGGCTATGTGTTACATGAATTGATTTTAAACGTGCTTTTAGCTTAGGCTGATGTAACTAAGGTGTTCTTTTACATATCCCATGTGGAAGGAAAACAGACTGAGGAAGAGTGGAGGAGAGCTCTTTGAGGTCACTGTCTTGTCACTTGAAACTCTCCGTGGGTTTCTCCCTATGGGTAACTCCTGGAAGTAAAAATAGCCATATAGTGTTGGAGCTTCACCGTATTTGTTTTATTTCAACTGCTTTCTAAGGTTAAAGCAGCAACAGGCACGCAGAACTGACTGACTTCACCTCAGGTGGAGGAGGATTATCTATGAATGATATTTCTGAGAATTTTGTGTTTGAGAGAGTAGGTCATGCACTCATGCTTGAATGTGTTTTCTTTCTACAGGAAAATCTCCAAAAGGCAAGGTAGACTCTAATAATGTCTTTTTTTTTTTTTTTGTGGGGCTTATTTCTCTCACTCTTTTTTGTTGTTTCCTTTTACTTTTTTTTTTTGCCATAAAATCCTTTTAGTCTTGGTGCTCAGAGTTATGGTAGTAATGTTTATGAGCTTCCTCACCCATGTTATTTTTACTGACTACAGAAAAATGGTCCTCTCCAAGTGCATGCCTGTACACGTGTAGCAGACACCTCTTGTCCCTGCTGCCACTGCGGCGCTGCCTGGGAGTGTGGGCAGACTGGTTTGCAGTGCTCAGACGTGAGCAGCGAGTGCTGGAAAAAGCATGTCAGCCTGTATGGGCTGTCTGTTCTGATTTGAAAATATCTGTTGAAGGATGCAGCAGGGGAGACAGGCTGGGGAGAGGAGCTTAGGAGACCACTGTCTGAAAAAGGAAGTCTCTCGAAAGAGCCAGGAGTTGTGTTTCAGGAAGGCAGATTGATCTCCTCCATGTCAGGCAATGAGACTTGACAGATGAGCAAACTTTTTTTTTTTTTAAAAAAAAAGTTCATAGCTAGCTCAGACATAATGTCAAGGCTACTGAGAGGTAGAGAAGGAGCAGAAAAAATGCATAGTTGGAACCCTGGCCCTGTGTTGCAAGGTGTGTGTACCTAAATCTCCATTTCTAGGAGGTGATCAGGAAACTGTGGGGCACTGCCTACTCTGGGAGCTGAGCTCTGGCTCTGTCACCCCACTCTACTATTGCACTGAGCTGTCTGTGCCAGCTGTAATTTCTCTTCACCTGACTGTGCTGAGAGTTAGCATCTATTTCTTCTCAGTCCTGAACAGCTCACGAGGCAGCAGCCTGCAAGCCTTGTGGCTGGCCCTCAGCATGTCATTTTAGCCTGTGAGGGAAAAACAAAAAGCAAAAGCAGAGAGGACTCAGAGGTGCTGGCCAGGGCTCCAGGGCCGGCACAGAGGTCTGATTTCAGTTGCAAAGTGTAACTAAGGAGTGACTTCACAGGTGCTTATAGAGGCAGGATCAGGGCTTGTACAGACATGATCGGTGAGAAGTTCCAGCTGCTTCTGGATGCCACGGCTCAACCCTGCAGTGGGGCTGGCTCTCTAGGATCTCATTCTGTAGCTCTACTTCCAGCCCTGCCTTTGACTCTCACCAGAATTCCTGACTTGACTGTGCATGTTTAATTCCCTGTGAAACAGGAAATTTTCCTTGCATTTGGGGTGAGGGATCATAGGTAATGGCAAGAGCTTTATAGTTATGACCATCCACGTGCATCTCTATAGGTAAAACATGACCCCTACATCAAAGTATTGCAAGGATTTGCCTGCAAGCAACACCAGGGTTCCTGGGATGAACTGATGCTTCAGGTCTTCCTGCACACTTATTCCACCATTTGCTTCTCATCTGAGCTGAATCAAAGTCCCTGGGTCAAGCAAAATTGAAAAATACTTTAATACATTACAAAATGAGGAAAGATGTTAACCCAAATCCACTTATTAGAAAGCCATGATTCAATAGTTCCCATAGACTAGATAAATTCTGTTAAAATCTGTAACTTGCTTATGTTAATTTTACAAAATTGATACCAAGGTTTGTTTTTCTTTTTTTTTTAAATCATGAAATATTCTTAACATTCTGAAATAGCAGTTAAGCTTAAGAAATTGTAATTGTAAATTAAAATTGTCTTTTATCATGTTCTGAAGTCCTGAGTCCTGTTCTCACTGAGTCACAAATAATGTTTGCAAGACTGGACGGGTTTAAATTATTGCCCAGAGGACTTAAAAGAAAGAAGGCCTGAGTAGCGTATTTGTGTGGGAGTGATGAATTGATCAGATAAGGCTTTAGGCCTCGTTGATGGAGTTACCTGAAAGCACAGCCAAAGAATAAAGCAGCTAGTTGATTTTTCCTCTCCTTATTCCTCATCCTTCTGTCATATGTTCACAGTATTGCATACAATTGGTATCCATGGCAATTATATCACAGCAGTAGCAGCTGATGAACTCTTGGGAAATAAAGATTCCATTTTCATGCAAATATTCTAAATAGCGAAGAGGTGAGGAAGAAAAATGGTTGATAAATAGAATTATTTCTCTCTTAGAATATATTTCAGTGTTTTCCTCAAGGCAGCAGTAGCTTTTTGAAATTGTGTTCTTACTGAACAAAAGCTTTCAAAGATCAGTGTGCATGTATGTATGTTATGATGAAGAAAGCAAAGTTAAAATAAGGCTCATTGATTTTGTGATGAAGCATTCTAGGTACTCCTTGTGTAATTTAACTTTCTTGTCAGAACACAATCCAATAACTTCAGAAGGAGCAGGCACCTTT